CTGTGGTATGACATCATGCGGAGCCGCACCGCCAATTACTCCGTTTTAGAGGGACTTGGGGTTGAGGGGTTGTGGAGGATGAGGATTTACTTCCACTCCATTCGGACGGGTTGGCAGGATTTGTCTGGAATTCCTACATGTTCGTTTGTCAGCTTTCCCTAGTTTTTATATTCTAAGCACGTTTCTTATTCTTCGGGGTTTCCGTGGCTGTCCTTACAAAACACCCCATGTGGAATGAAAGGTTCTGTCTATGCGGTCTTCAGCCCTCTACTTTGTGCAGTGTAACGACAGACGCTACAGAAAAACTGGAGAATACGAGAATTAGAGTTAGGATTCTCCAGCCTTCAGGGAAGAGAGAGAGAGACAGAGAGAAAACGGTGTGAATAGGAAGTGAGGCTTTATTTCTTATTAGTAATCTCCAAGATTTAGTTATCTTTATCATAGAGGGCAAATTAAACTGGCTCCCAAACGGTGGGGGCGGGAGTGGGGAGGGGAGATGCCTCGGCTGCAGTGGAATTGATTACATTTCCTATGATTTCCCTGATCCTGAGGAACTGAAACGAAGAGTAATGAGACAATTGTTTCTTATTTGCCTGAGTTGGAAGGAAAGTTCAGAATACAGTCACATGTAGAACTAATGCAATTCCATGTTGTATAGTGTACGTGTAGGAAGGGAAAAGCGCAGGGTACATTGATGATGATTACTGTTACTAGTTAACTGGACTTAGAAACTAATTGGAAGCTCAGGAGGGAAGAATTGGTCATAAAATGATTATCTTTTAATGCAGTATGTGTGGAGCTTGTGTTATTGTTTGAAGCAACAGGAAAAGTAGGGTTGACTGGTGGGGAGAGACTAGATCTGCAGCAGATAAATATTATCTGGCTCTGCAGGGCATAGATTCTATCAGACTGTTTCATCAACTCTGTTTAAAACCTATTCCTGCTCAACCTTACCCCCTTAAATTTTCTGACTTCCCCTTCTCTACTTCCCTGAGGCTAAACAGTATCTAGAGTGCTTCATTCAGTGTGCAGAGCTGTGTAAGGAACAACTTTCTGCCTTTTACATCTTCCGTGTTCTCAGAGGTAAGCAGGTAGGAAGGAGCTCATGGAATCTGGAAGAGGTAAGAGTGACCTGCTCACTACGCAGAATACAGCAGGAAAATGGATGCGCCTCCTTGGAGGGAAATCTCTCTGTAAACTGAATTTTGCCAAGCACTAGAGTAGGAGGAGCAGGTCACTTAGGCTGGGGGGTGAGATGGTGACCTATGGAGTTTCTTTCCAAGCTTCTCTGCTTTCTCACCCCATCTAGAACATCAGACCCTTCTACCAAAGACAGTCTGTGGAAGATGAAAGCTAATCCTCAGGAAGGTCTCCTCCCAGCTGAGGCCCAGGAGGCATAGGATCTGCAGCTGCAATGCAGGCACCAGAACAAGTAAACAGGGTGGGTCCCTGCCAGTAGACAATTCTGCAGTCCAGGTGCCACCTGGTGGTGATAAGCAGTAAATCTGTAACAGGAGAAAGCATGGCCATTTGTTCGAGGAAGTGTCTAAGTGAGAATACCCAAACTTCCTGGATTTGCAATCTGCATTTAATATGTAAACTTCATTAACATCCTCAGGGAGGGAGAGGATTAGATGTGGTAACCTAGTCCTTGCCCCCTCTCCAAGATGGAAGGGGCAACAGGATTTGAGGTAATATCCTCTATTATTCCTCAAAAGTTACTGCAAAGTAGGTCTATCATTAGAACTTTTTTATGCCAAGTCTGGAGTCTGACTGCCTGAATGCCTGGCTCCATTCCTTAGTAGTTGCAGAACCCTGGGCAGCTTACTCTCATTAAGCCTTTCTCCTCTGCAAACTGGGTTGTATAACAGAACCCATTGTGTCAAAGAGAAATTGCATGTAAAGTGCCTAGCACAGTGCCTTGGCTTATATTATTAAGTACTCAGTAAATGTTAGCTATTATTCTAGAACTCCCTATTTATTTCCTATGCAGCAAGACAGGACCTTTTCTCCATTGGAGAGCCCTTCAAATATTTGAAGACATCTATTAGGTTTCCCCTCAGTCTCGTCAGGTTTTTTTTTTTCTGCTATCCCCACTGATTTATCAATGGGCCTCTTTGAAAATTACACTTAGAACACAGAATCCTTTAAGAGTGGTTTCACTCAAAAAGACGTGGTAGAACTGTTATATTTACAATGTATTACTATGGTTCTCTTACCCTTTTGGAGCTCCTCAGAAGGTGCTTAGAACATAGCAGGCTCTTAGTATTTATGGATTGACATACTATAGGACTAAGAGTTTAATTTTTTTGTAACCAATTGAAGTCCTGTGTTGTTTTCATGTGAATTATTGCTAACGTAGTTCTCTGCAGTTCTTTCTCAGACAGGCTCAAGCAATTTTTTAGGGAGAGGGTCAATCCAAATTGATCCAAACTGACCTCTTGGATTAATTCAGTCAATCCAAGTTACAGCACTTTCAGGTTTACTTGGTATTTCCGTATGTTAATGTTGGTTAACAGGGCTTTTCATATTTTTATATAAATTTTTTAAATAAAACATAGCCCTTGAGTGTATCACTAGAGACCAGAAGTTTCTCTAACAAAATGCGCTAATCAACATTTACTACACAAAGATGTTGAGTTTTGACTCCGCCAAACTCTACCATTAACTGACCCATAATTATTCTCTTATCTGCAATGACTTAGCAGATGAGGAAGAGCAAAGCAGCCCTGCCATCTGGGGACAGGCCTGGCAGTGCTGGGCTTCGGGTTGTTAAGGGCTGACCTGGGCTCATAGCTAGGAAATGATGTTCTCCTACTGGACACAATCTCATGAAACACCAACATCACACAATGGCACTCAGTGACTGTGATGAAGTGAGGCAAAAAAACCAAGATCACACTTCACAATTTTGTTTAAACACAAAACAAGGTCAGTGTGCAAGTCATGAAATAGCAAACATCCCCTTCTCCCAACTAATGGGTGACTGCTGCTTTATTACCAATTTCAGCTTCACTCTAGTCTGCTCTTTTCCTAGTTAAGATACCCAATCACAGAAGTATCCCTGCTTCCCTGACAGCACCCAGTGGAACCAAGCCCCACTTCCTTGAACCTTCCCCCAAATCACTTAACCCGAGTCCCAAGTCCTAAAAGTCCTTTCTAATGTCCCTTTGCTAGGCATGGGTCCCATGGCACACTCTCCATAACTGCAGGGAGCATTAAACCCAATTTGTTTGACTACAGGTGTATTCCTGGCAGTCTTTGGCTGGCATATGTTAATCAAGAAGATACAATGATTACAGTTTCCCAAATCTACCTCTTTAGAGATACTTGGCAAAAAGAAAATAGTCAGGATTTGGCTGGGATGAACTCATGTTGGTATCTATCATCACATTTGTCTCTACTCATAAACCATCTCTTTTAATAATCCAGAACTGTGCCAGAAAAATCAACATTAAGCTTATCAATGTGTGGTTTCTAGAGTCCACACACAATATTTCAGTATTTGACCACTTCTAGTCTTTAGGCCTTTTCTTTTTTTTATGACCAGCCTTGACCGAGCATACCATCTCCAACCCCAGGTGTAACCTGAGTGATCAACCAGACAAAACAAGAGGTAGCAGCAGATATGATGGGGGAAGCACAACTCAGAACCATGTTCTGTATCCCAAATCCACTGTCTCATCAGACTAGATACCTGAGTTGTTTCCCCTACATCAACTACGAGCTGAGGAGGAACTGAGGTTTGGCTACTGGGGTCCCTGGCCTTATGGACTCTTAATTGGATTTAAAACCTCTGTGGTTCTATATGGAGGCAAAGGGAAGAGATGAACCCTGAGGTTTGTGTCCCCAGGAGAACTTTCCTTTTCCCAGCACCTCCCAAGCCTTGAAGGCTTAAGGCATTGGTAACTGAGGAAGGGATGGGGTAAGAGGGGCATTAACTGTCATCAACCACTCAGAGAGCAACTGCCACCTGCCCTGCTGTTTGAATAAGGGATCTGTCAATACATATCCCATTCCCATTTCCCAGCACATCCACCCCTCCTTAGTACCTGCCCCCCTAAATGACCCCAGGAGCCCTGGTTACTAAGGTATCCTGGGAATAGTATCATGCAGATAGAAACCAGCAACAGATGGGACTATTTTTAAACTAGACTAGGTGGCTCCAATGCTTTTACCCCACAAAGCGCCGTTTAATTTTGCTCTGGGTCCCTACCCTTCACCTGGCCTCTGCCCAACCTTATCCAAGCTGTGTGAGGGTGGGGTCTTTATCCCATTTTGGCATGAGATATATTTACTGCTCTCATCTTCCACACAGTTTATCTAAGCAAGTTTTCACTGCCTCCATTTGTTAAAAATAATTCTTTTTTTATTTCTTTGGAAAGTGGTGGGCCCTGCCCTATGGATTTCCAAGCCAAGCCAAGCCAAGGTAATGAATGCTCCCCTAGTCTTTGGACTGGAGTACTATGGTCCCCACCTTCCCTTGGGCCCAGGAACAGTTTCCTGTATTCTCCAGCTCAACTAGGCCCCCAATTGTCTGAAGGCTCCTATTAGGCCTTCTCTCCTGGCCACCCACTTCCCAATCTCTCCTGGCTTTCCCTCTGGGCAGGGTTTTTTTGTTTTTGTTTTTTTTCTTCCAAAGCCAGTGCTGGAACCTGTGCTATGCAGAAGAGAGGACAAGACAAGGGATGTCCCCATCTTCCCATCAGGGTACATACGGCCCCTCAGTCAGTCCTTCCTCTCTGCTGGCTTCAGTCTGCACTCCTATGAAAGCCCCCTCTGTGAGGCTTGAAGGAAGATGGACAAGAGGACCCTCATAAAAGGGAGGTGAGAGAAAACAGACCGGCCCAACCCTTTCTCAGAAGCAAACTCCTTGTAGTCTCTTGTCCTAGTTCTTGAGTGAGCCCTTCAGACAGGGCCTGGGAGGGCTAGGCGAGTGGGTAAGGGCCCCTCGACCCCAGCCCTGGGAGGCTATACCAGGGGAGTGTCCATTAGCCCCATCAGTGTGGCATGGCTGTGATACGCATGCTCTGGGAAGCGATGGGGTAAGTCACCATGGGAGTGGTGGTGTGGCTCATTGTGATTCCTGCCAAGGGTTGGGCCATCGATACAGCCACTGGGGCCACAGGAGCCACAGATACAGCCACAGGAGCCATGGAGACAGGTGGGGGTGCCATTCCCTGGGCAATTGTTTGAGCCAGAGCAGCTGACAATGGTGTGATCTCTGGGTTCAAGTGTGGGGGTGGGGGTGGTGGAGCAGCAGGAGGTGCAGCATTAGTTGGGGGAGCAGCTGGAGCTCCAGTGGGGGCCACCAGTTCTTGCTGGGATACAGGGCGAGGCTGTAGAGCCTGGCTGCTGAGAGTAGTGTGAGTCTGGGCAATGCCATGGTTAAAAGTGGCAACAGTGCCCACAGTGGGGGCCAGAGTCTGCTCAGTTGCTGGTGCAGTAGAGCTCAGGGTCATGACCTTGGCCTGATTGCGGAACTGGGCATTTTGTTCCAGCAGTACCTCATTGGTGGCCAGCAGGTTGCTGACCTGCTTCTTAAGCTCCTCCACCCGCTTCCTGAGCATGGCATTCTCCTCCTCCAGCAGTCTGCACTCCACCCCTCGAGGTGGAGCCAAGCTATATTCATAGGATTCAAAATGGGGGCCATCCGGGGGGCAGCATCCACCTCGCCGGCGCTTGGGGCCTGGTTCATGGTCCTCAAAGCCCCTGTCAGGGAGGTCATAGATATCATAGAGGTCGTGACGTCGTCCTGGGGGGACTGGGCCTGTTGCACCACCACCACCACTGCCTCCTCCACCTCGAGCATCAAACTCAAAATCCCGCTGCAGGTGGCGAAACTTGCACTTGGCTCCTCTCTGGCAGTCACCCTTGAGAAAGTCACGGCAGATAGGGACCTCCTCTTTGCCATTCGGCAAGTCAGCTGGTGAAAGGCCCAGGCCGGCTGCCACTTTCTGCCTCAGCCGAGGGGGAAGCTCTCCTGTCTTCTTATAACCATCCTCATCCTCCTTGGAGCCATGGATGAATCGGCAGTTTGGGCGGCTACACTCCTTGTTCTGGAAGTCATGGCAGAAGATGAACTCATTTTTGCTCACTCCCAAGTTGGATACCTCACTCATGTCTGGATGACGATAGCGGCAACGCTTGCCTCGCTTGCATACATTCCTCAAGAAGTCTCTACAGATGGCATCTGAGCTGGCCCCGCCACTGCCTGCCCCTGCCCCACTGGTCTCCTCGCTGCCACCTCCTCCAGGGCCTCCACCGCTGTTCCCGGTGCCGTTGGCATAGCTGTCCCGGTCAGGCATTCTGGTCCCCCCCAACTCAGGGCTTTCTTCCTTTTCTTGCCACCCTTGGTGACTGCTAGGAAAGAGAAGAACTGTGTCAAACAGGTGTCTTCCAGAGAGGCCACACTCTTCCCAGCTACAGAGCAGGCAGTCCAGCAAGAGGCAGGCCAGACAGGCATGGCTTTGGAGATGGAAAATCTAAGGTATGAGAATTCTGGCTGGACTGGCTGGCTTGTCAGAAGTCCCTCCCAGGCCCTCGTGCACCTGGTTGGGTCAGAATGATTCACACTAGCCTGACTAACGGAGGAGGGAGCTGGGGTGAAGCCACTTCATCTCACTAATGATGACAGGCCAAGGAGGGGGCAAGGAGAAAACAGTGTTGGGTTTTATTTCCCCTTCTGAGCTGACCTTATTAAAGTTGAGAAAGTGAAATTAAAACTGCTGTCTCAGTGTCTCAGTAGATTAGGAGGAGATTGGGAAGTGGCCAAGATGGGCTGGTGAGCTTACTAGGGCTGTGGATAACGGGACACTGCAGACAAAACTTCCCTTAACCTCTCTTCCGTGGGATCTCAGGTGAGGGCACTCTAGACCCCAGGAAATCCTAAATGAAGAGACTGGTGTCACCAGCTTGATGGCAGTTCCTAAACCTATCATTTTTTAGTATTCTCTCCCAGCTCACCTCTGCTGTCAACACCAGTGTGGTCAGCTCCCTCCACTCCATTTCGGGGAGAAGGGGGTAGTTCTACAGCTGGGATCTCCACTTATACACCCCCAAAGGACAAAACCATTTGTAGTAAGGTCAAGGTGGGAGGAAGGAGTTAATTTCACAGGAACAAGTGACTTTTCTTTTCCCATTCTACAGCCCCCTCCTATTCCCCATTAGAAGATACCACTGACATCAAACCACACCATTCCTCACCCCATAAAGATCCTCTTTATTTATAGGCTCTATAAAAGCTTTTTAAGTCTCCTCTTTCCCAAGAGAGCTCTGGAATGTCAGTCCACTGCCCTGGTTCTAGCCCTCCCCTCTCCCCACCCCCAAGAAGACTGGGAGTCCCTGCCACCACGTGTTTGACCTCATAAGCCTTTCCTAAGCAGTGACCAGGCTCCCCCTGCTGTTCATATAGGAAAACTTCATATTGCTTCCCCTGGAGTATAAGGAAATCTTTCCTGGTTTCTTTGGTCTTCATTTCCCCCCAAGCACCTTCCCTACTGGCTTGACTTTGCCTTCAGAGGTCCCTAAAATGAACCAACCAGATAAGAGACCAGAGTTACAGAAGAATCTGTAAAAGGAGAAGGATCCTTTTCCTCCAAAGGCATGTAGTCCCCAAATAGAAACAATCAAGGAAGAAGAGTAGTAAAAAAGTAGATACAAACTTTTACTTAAAGGGAAATGACCCAGTGAAAAATAAATACCATCTATCTAAGCTTGAACCATGCTGCAACTCCCACCAGAGGCAGATAATCAGCTATGATACTCCTCCCCACCCAATTCTTCCAGGATTGTTAGATACCTGAGGTAGCTCAGGTGAAGTCCGGGGCTCCTGTGGGTCTCCACCTCCACATCACTGCTGGGTTCTGAACAGGAAAAAACAGAGTCTTGGTGGGAGAAGGGTAGGAACAGAGGCCTATGTTTGTTACAATAAAGAAGTCTGACTAAATAGCAAGAGCTCTGGGCACTTCCAAGATTCCCTCTGAGTTCAAACTGAATTTCACCTATCAAAGGGAATTGTCGGCAAGAAAAGTAAGAATATAGAACTAATCTGGGAGCCTAGGAGGATGGGTTGGAAAACCAGCCCTGAGTGAACAAAGGGGGAGGGGTACTCTGCCTCAAGATGAAGGAAGATGTGGGGATCAGAGCCCGGCCTAGGGTTGAGGTTAGTTAACTCCGAATGCGGAGTCGTGCAAGAGCAGCGACTGACAAGGCAATGGGATGGCTGATTAGACTTGGGGGCGGTGATTATGACGCTTCTCAACACCCCAGAGTTTGGAAAAGAAGTCCTAAGAGTTTTATGCAGCAAGTCTTCCAGCTTGCTAGGTTCTGTGCAGTGCGACCCGCGCTCAGCCGTGGACCAGGCGAAAAGGACACTAAGGGAGCACAAGTGAAGCGGAAAGGGGGGACTCCAGGTGACATCAAGCTGCGGGGATGGGCAGGGCTGTGACGTCACGGAGCTGGCGTTTGCTCGCGAAGCAGGGTCAGTCAGAAAAAGGGCTCGGCCCTGGGGCATGAGGAAGAACCAGCTCGGTCCTGGGGGGCCTTGTGTAGCCCAGCCGAGCCCAGCTGCTGGGCCGGCCCCGACTCCTCCCCTCCGGGCGCGGCCTCCACCTAAGTCTCCCGCCTCCCTCACCTGCCGCCGCCGCCGTAGTTGCTGCTGCCGCCTGCCGGTCCTCTAGCTTCGACAAAGAGCCGCCTACCCTATTGCCCTTCCGCTTCCTGCGGAAGAAATGACGCTCTAGCCACCAGACCCGGAACTACTCTATGGTGTGCGAAGTACTAGTGACTAGCCGCAGGAAGTTCCCAGCAAGCTTTGGGTGTCACCATAGCAACCGGACGCAACAGCACAGTAGCGCCTCAAAAGCGGAACTTAGTAACTTAGACTTAGGTAAGAGTAAGGGCAGCAGTGCTGTTTGCCCCTAACTTGGCCGCGAACCACCTTCAAACCTATCCCCTCGCTTATACTACACCCTTTCTGGGAAGTAAGGGCCACCCAGTATCTACCGACTCCAAGGGCTTGGGGACCAAATGTCGGCCAGGTACAGGAGTCACACCCCAGGCTGTAGCCTATGTAGCGCGCTCGAGGCTCTACAGCGTGGGTGTTCAAGAGGCCCTACTGCACTGACAGAGAATCCCCAGCCAATAAAAACCACGTAACAGACAAAACCATTTTTTTCTTCAGCTAAGACAGCAGAAGAGAAGATTTATTGTAGACGTTGTTACATTCAGCCACACATGAAAACAGAATTAGTCCCGAAAGTCACAGGTCCAGAGCAACGGACCAAAAGGGACTTCTGATATGAACAAGGCGAGTCTCTCAAAGGTGGTCGTTGCGATCAGATGGCGATGGATGTTCTAGATCCACTGAATCAAGCTCTAGAAAGTAGGCATGCAGTCCAACAATTGGTACCAGCGTCCCTGGCCTCTGGCTTTCCTTATTTCTGCTCCTGTGGCTCCATGGGTGCACAAGCTAGCGGTTTACTTGGACCTCTGCCTCATCTTTCTTCTTTTACGCTTCAGCCTGAAAAGCAGACACGGGAATACATCTCCTGCCCACAAACCCGAGTTCAGTCTTTCCCTCCCATCTTAAATGTGCATCTAATACATGGGGTGTCAAAACGGACAAGTACTTCAGTTCTACTATCCTGCGTTCAATCCCCGACTATGCAAGTCAATGCTTATAACAGTTTCACCTCAAGTTCTTTCAGATTTCTAAACCAAACGATCCAAGTTTTGTCCAAGACACGCTACATTTCCCTCTTCCTGTGTTGGCCGGTCAAGTCTCAACATACCTGCGCATTCGCTTCTTCCTCCACTGCAACCCATCACAGCCAGAGGCAGAGAATAAAACAAGAGATTAGTTTTAATAAGAGATCTGGGCAGAGATATGAAGGGCATTATTTAGAACCTGGCAGGTTCTTGACCAACTGTGTAGGTATAGTCACAGTAAATCCAGCAATAATTTGGACTCCCACCCTCACCCGCCAAAATAGATATGAATCCCGCGTGCGCTTTTCTACTCCCGCCCTTTGTGCCCACAGTACTTACCCACCTCTTTTGCTTCTCCCCAAATTAGCCTTTCCTCTTCCGCTAGCTCTTGGGCACCCTTGAGAACCCAGCGGCTCGGGAACCATGGCGGACTTCCCTTGCCTAGTTGTCCCCTGCCCCCCCCCCCCCATCACTAATCTCTACTGCCTCAGCTTACTGCCAAGGACTGCTTACCTTAGCTCTCATGGCGGAGAGGTTTCTACAGGTAAAGAGAAAAAAGCTACAGTTAGTTTCGTGTAATGATGGCAAGTGCAGAGATCGGATGTTAATGGATTGAGCACGGAATACAAACACAAACAGCCCCAACACTCACCCAAGAAGATGGCGCTAAGGCGGAGAGAGCGCCAGAGGCCCGCCTACAGCTATTTAACAGGGAGCTGTGTCGTCATTTCCGTTATCTCACTTTTCCCTCCAGGGGCGGGGCTGCCTAAGAAGAGTAATAATGGCATTCAGCTCGTCTCAGGTGGCAGATTGATTGAATTAGGAGTTCTCTGGGAAGACATTTTGAATTTGAGTTACAAAATCCCCCTTCCCTCAGTTTTATTATGAAGATATTGTGTTGTTTCAGCGTGAGCACATATTTCCAATGTGGGTCCGAGAGGTGAAGACAAGCAAACGATAGCGACTTCCGCTTTCCCTCTCGCTGCTTCATGGGAGTTAGAGTTTCCTGGCTGCACCCTCCATTTTACTATGGTTACCTGCGGTCTATACAAAAATTCCTAATTTGTTTTACCGGTTTATTTTTAAATTGCTGCAGGGAGATTCTATCTCGTAACTTACGAAGGTCTTAAGATTCCAGAACGTGTAAGTGGGGAGTTGAGAAAGCCGTCATACTACGAAGAGAGCTTTGTTACTTAGATGAACGCTTTTGCTTTCTCAGCTATAGTCTTTCCCCCGCGATACATGAGGCTGAATGCCACAAGATTTCTGGCTCAGTACATCTTGTTCAGAAAATACTTCAGGGCGCCTGAGTGGCTCAGTCGGATAAATGTCCGACTTCGGCTCAAGTCATGATCTCTCAGTCTGTGAGTTCGAGTCCGCGACCGGGTCTGTGCTGACAGCTCAGAGCTTGGAGCCTGCTTTGGATTCCGTGTCTCCCTCTCTCTGCCCCGGCCCCGCTCATGCTCTGTCTCTCTCTCAAAAATAAATAAATAAACATTAAAAAAAGAAAAATACTTCAGTGATTCTGCCTCTACTTAGGAGTTAAGATCAAACCAATGTACATACAGGAAGCAAGATCAACTGTCTTCTTTAGACT